TATATATATATATATATATTTGTACGTTAATTGAAATGGTAGTCTGATGTATGGACAATATTATGGTATTTACAAGGCTAACGACGAAGGATAGAGATCGAATTATTTCGTTCGAGTGGAATACCTCCGGTTCGCTGAGGGTTTCCACGTCCGTACCGTAACGGCGCCAGACCAAAGGCGGAGGTGGTGTTCCGGTGACGTCGCACTTAATCTCAACGTTGTCCCCGACTCGTGCAGATATGTGATTCACTTCGAGGGATTTATCCAACGATACCACCGATACACCTGCATAGATCAGAACCATCCTCGTATATATTATGTGTACGTTATACTTTGGCCAAATTGAATGGACGATCGTCCATCGTACAAACTTTGCATAATAATTCCTCGAGGTCGTTTATATATGCGCGATGGCACTATACCGGTCACGTGTGCAGTCTGACAATTTACGGTGACACCATTGTCCATGGACAATGCGTTCTGCATTGAGAACGTTGATTACAGATTTTCATAAGAAAATGATTTGAAAATAGTTAATCACTACGTTAAATTGTACTAACATTATTTGTCTTACGAAATTGTCAGAATAGTAATAATATAATAGAATAATTTTCGAGAACAAATATTTGTATTGGAAGAATTTGTTTTAAATTCAAGAAATTAGTTTAAAATTAAATTAATTCGAATACATTTTATTAACATAATTATATAATTTATCTTTGTCATCGACTTGTAAAAGATCTCATGATAACAAATGAATCACAAATGATGCTTACTATAAAGCTTGCTAAAGGCCATGTAGAACTCGTTAACATTCAGTTTGCCATCATTATCGGTGTCATCGTAACTGATCATGTGGCTCAAATTGCATCCTGCACATAGTTCTTCCATGTTTTCTTCTTTGGCGATCTGAATGTTCGAAATAGTTTAAGCGTATTATTCGCTAGACGCTCGAGCAATGGAAAAATCGTGTTACTGCCGTTAAAATAATGGCCATCAAATAAATCTTATCGCAAGTACTTCTCCTTCAGTTTAAGTTAAACTTGAGAGAAAACGTTAATGAAGAAATACTACACGAAGAAAAGTATATTCAATGTTAAATCACCTGCAAGAGCTCTTCCCGCTCCAAATTACCGTCATTGTTTCTGTCGTAGTGAGAAAACATGATGCTGACCAAATACTCTTTACTGTGATTATCCTCGGCCATTAGTCTGGCGTGACTGTATAGAAGTAAGTTGTCCTACGATGGATAAACAGAATAAATAAATATAGTATGGTCTGGATAAACAGAATAAATCAATATAGTATAGTCTGATTACGTTTCAATAATTTTTTACAGTTATAAAGTATTATTGCAAAAAATTATAAATAAATTAAAGAAGATATTCTTAACTGACACATATACTTTCATATATAATTTGTTTGTATTTTATATGAAGAAATCTCCATTTATACATGCTGAATTTTGTACATATATGTAAATAAATCATAGTTGAAAAAACCATAAATTACAATATTTTAAAAAATTATATTTAAAAATAATCATTATTTGATGAGAATGAAAGAAAAATGGAGTGTTATTCGCGTATCGTAGCTAAATAATAAATTCAAATTCATTTCTATTTCATATACCCTAGTTTTTTTTATTAAATTTTTTTTATTAAAGCTATATCTGAATATAGTCAGAGAATATTAATGATAAATATAGTCATCTATTTGCAACTCAAGAAGATACGCTAAGAAGAGGGACGCTTTTCGTCGAGAAATCCTCATTAAAATTTCTTACGTTTTAAGTCGGAAATTATTGTATCGTGGAATAAAATCAATAACATACTTTCATAATCTCGTATTCCTGCGCTGAACACTTCTCGATATCGTGACCGTTCTTTTGTAGGAACGATTTGCTCACCGGATGCTTCGTCTTATTCTTGGACTTAGCGTACTTAGCGATATTCTTGCCTTTGTTGGAGGCATGGTACGCAAAGAAATCCTTTCGTGCCTGTGCGCTGTAATTACCTGGAAATGATGGAACATTCCATTATAAACTTCAAGTTTCCATGTAACGACATCTCTTTTTTTTTTTCTTATCGTTACAACTCTTAACAAACTAGACTGCTACGCGGCTGCTATAAATTAATAGAAAACTTCTAAGTTATTATTGAGTTCATAATGAAACCAAAGTTTTGTTAGTCCTCGTGGTTTCTCTTTCTTTTAGTGTAAACAATGAATTAAAGTTAAAAGTATCGGCAAAGATTTGGATAATCTTTATTTGATGTTCTATGAGATTTATACGCTGTTATGCTTATAAACTTAATTTATTGATGACTAGTTAAAAAGTTATATTAGTAGATTAAAAAGTCACACGATTACTTATATTTCTTCATAATGTAGTGACATATCTTGTCTCTAATAAAATTCCAATTGGGTTAATAATTTATAAAGTTAAAATCTGAAAATATAATTGAAATAATGTATATTAATATTAATTGATTTATTTTATTCAATTGCTATTAATAAGCTTGGTTTTTTATAATCTTTGCTGGATAATTAAATAAAATTAAATCTAATAATTAGCTAGATATGGATAATTAAAATTAAATATAGATAGAGTTCAGTGCACGCCGCGGGGCCGATAAACTCTAGTGTTCTTCTATTTCCGTCTCTATTTCATTAAAATCTAAAAGAATTTAAAATACAAGAATTGATTTTAAGCCAATGGAAAATCTTGTTTTACCTTTCATATTTATCATCATTAATATTTAATTAAAAATTTCGAAAGATACAAATTTTTATTACTGACAAAAATAACTAACTTATTCAAAACGGTTAATTCTTTAATACTATGTGATGTCAGAAAATATATATGAAATCAAATTATCAATAATAAAAATCTATATCTTTCTAAATTTTTATGATGAATATTAGTTTATTGATTAAAATCAGAAATAAAATACATATGTATAATGCAATGCATATATTTCATTCCGAGATATTTCCTCTACGTGTGCGTAAGCTTTCTGTACTATGCAAGATAGAGACATAGGATGCTTTTCAAGAGACACAGATGACACAGTGTGGCACAATGAATCATTACATCCTAGTTATTTGTCAATGTTAAACAAAGATGAAACAATTTTCAATGCTGTTGTTTCTCTTCCTGGAAAACAGCTATATATTGTCGAGCACGTGCTCACCATTGCTGAGGCATCTAGAGAGTCTTCGGGTGTTTAATGGAGTATCGGTGTTGCAGGCCGCGCGATGCATCTCGCAGTGATTGACGTATACCCTGCCATTGCTTGCACAGACCGGTCGATGCCTCCGCGCGCATTTATGAATGCAGACGCACGCAGCGACGAGCTCCTCACCGTCCGCGGAGACTTGGCACTCTCTTCCCACACCGCAATACTTTACCAGGCATAGATCGTCGTCTGTGAAAGAGCGAAAAATATCGCATCTTTGCTAACGTCCCTGCTAACCCCCCCGCGAAATGCTCTACGAGATATGTTTGCGTATCGGGATCGCAATCCTTGAATATGCGGCTGGCACGCGAATGTTTCCCGTCAGCCGTATGTTACAAACGCGCGCGATTGATGGCGCGATCTTATATGTGCGAAAACGGAATACCTTGCGCCGCGAATATACGCGTCCATTCACGATAAAATTGCCGATCATCCTAGGTAATGCGACCGTTCTATCTTGTTGCAATAAATCACTCTACGCAATCCTGTTCTGTTAGATTGCAACCTTAGAATACTACTATAGCTATAACTGCCGAATCATTTCGGGAGAAATATTTCTCCTTTTTTCCATCCTCAATATTCTCTTTTCATATTACGATTTGCGACAGTTTTATCATTGCAGAGTCAATAAGATGGACATATTAAAATAACGGGTGATTTGATTTCAAAATACACTTTTGCAAACAGTATGAAAATTTAATCTGAATATAATATAAAGTGAATATAATATAGAATATAATATAAAGTGAAATATTAATGTATAAAAAATATCTACTAATTGCTGTACTTTTATACACACACACACACACACACACACACACACACACACACACACACACACACACATGCGCGCGCGCGCGCGCGGCGCACACACACATGTTAAAAAGAAAGGTATTGTGCATATAATACAAACGATACAACATGAAAAGAATTCTTCTGGTATGTTCCAATCATGTTGCTCTCGTGTCACCCTTCTTTTATTCGCATTGCGATGCAAACAATTTTCGCAGCTTCGTAGCTATGTGCGCGTTTTTTTACGTCATTGCAATCTTGTTGATTGTAGGAGTGGTGTTTTATACAATTTTAGCGGCGTACGGACTGGTTTAATGACTGCACGAGGTAAACGCGTACGATCCCGGCGAATTGTGACCGGAGATACACAGTTTAATTAAACTTCCCGAACGGCGCAACGACATACGAATTACTAATTGACATATTTATATATATATATATAT